AGTAAGTTTATGAATAGGAAGGGTTTAGAGGGATAAGGGCCAAATGCTGGCAAATGGGACTAGGTTGGAATGGCATGTCTGGTCGGTGTGGATGCATTGGACTGAAGGTTGTTTTCATGCTGTATGACTCTGTGACTTTATGGTCAGAGGTCCAATTTTAGTTCACTAAAACTCTTTGATAATCCCAGCAAAATATTGTCAGGACAGATTGCGCTGATTGGCATTTTTGTTCCATTCTAATTACTGAAATGCCACGGCCTGTTACATTTACCCACCAGTGTGTACAGAGGCTCAATATGCTCTATAAAGACTGGACGTGGAGGCGTTTTCAAGAGAACTATTGCAGAATTGAATTTGTTTTCATCTGAAGTTAAAAATTGTGAGGGGTTTGAACAAAATAAATAGGGGAGAAAATATTGTTCCCACTGCCCAAGAGGTGAGAACCAGAGGACACTGATTTAAGGTGATTGTCAAAAGAAGCAACATGGAGGATCATTGTTGTCACACAATGAATGGTTAGGAACTAGAGTATACTGCCTGAGGGTATGTTTAAGGTAGACTCACACATGGCTTTTCAAAAGGTCTTAAAGTTTCAAAAGTCTTAAAGTTTCAGCAAGATAAGGAAATGGATTATGTAGCTACCAATGTTAGTTTCATTTGGACAGTAACAATAGAATGGTAGGTTGTGACACATTAGCAGGCCTCTCACAAGTTTTTTGAGTTGGAAAGATAGCTATTTCCTCCACAAGAGAACGATTGTGTTTAATAGATTCCCAGACATAAAATAAGTAAAAATTTTAAAGAGCTGAATCAGTATCTGATTAGGAACACAAAAAACATAATGGCTGTAAACATATTGTTGGGATCATGAAATTATGTTCTAGAGGAGTATAATTTAGAGATGTAGAAGATAAGACTTACACGTGGATAAATAATCTAGAGTTTTGCTTGGTTGACCTAAGCAAAGCAGTTCTGCTGAAGAGTATTGTTGTGAAATCAGTGTGTGGAAACGCATCACTCCTGGATGACGCAGTATTAGAATCTTTCACTTGTTTTGAGAGCACCTTTTCAGTTTTTCATACTGGTTATTGATGTAACAACATTGTTGAGGTCACTCAACATATGGAAAGAAAGAACTGACAGCAGGAACGTCAGAGCTGACTTTCATGTTTTCTATCTCTGTGGAATTGAAGCTTCCCAAGTGTAGGGCAGAGGATGAGTGGCGATGAGGAAGGGTGTCTGGAGGCATGGCAGGGGTAGTCAGGCGATGGGGCGGGAAGGAATTTGGGGAAGTAGTGACTCATTTGCTATTACTCTGCCCCCAGTAGTTTTTTTTTCCTAACCACAGCTTCCCGCCTCCAGCCTCAAGTTTGAATGGGTTATGAAAGTTATCATTTGGCTATATATTCTTCTAGTGCACCCCTTCAGATGTATTGAGTTGATTTCCTTTATGAACATAAGAATATAAGAACTAGAAGCAGGAGTACGCAATTTCAGCCCCTTGAGCCTGCTCTGCCATTCAATACGATCATAGCTGATCTCACCTCAGCCTCAACTCCACTTTCTTGCCCACTCTCCACAACTCTTCAACCCGTTACTAATTAAAAATCTGTCTATCTCCTTCTTAAATTTACTCAATGTCCCGACATTCACCACAATTCATGGATATTGAATTCCACAGATTCCATGACTCTTTGAGAGGAGTAATTTGTACTCATCTCAGTTTTAATCTGCTGCTGCATATCCTAAAACTATGACTTCTCATTCCAGATTGCCCCACATGAGGAAGCATCCTCGCTATGTCTACTTTGTCAATCTCCTTTAGCATTTTATCTGTCTCAGTATGATTTAAGTTTTTACTATCTTTCACTTGAAACATAGTATTCCAAGACAGTGCATAACCTTTAATCATAGGCCAAATTCTTGTACCTCCTTGAAGTGGTTTGGAAAATACTGTCATAGTTGCCATGCTGGAAGCTGATTCTCTTGAAGATAAAGTGCAATGAGCCTAAAGTTCAAAGTAAATGTTATGCTGATCTGAATTAAAAATGAAATATACTGTGCCCAAGTGCAGATGCAAAATGAGGAGGCAGAAAAGTTAAAATTGAGTATCTAAAAACTGCCAAGTAAGTAGTTTGTGAATTGGTGAAAAATATGTTTTCTTTCACAATGACAGGTAGAAGGAATCCTCCAGGCAAACATTTGGCAACCCATGTAGTTCCTTTGAAATAGGCAATCGTGCTTTTGTATTATGGACATTAAATTAATTAAAAAGGCTTAGTCTCACTGTATTCAAGTCTTGATCAAATGTAAATCATGCATATTATTAATTAATATTTAACTAATTAATATCTTCTCTAGGGCTGTTTCATTTTTAAGTAGCTCAGGATACTGTAGAGAGACACAGTCTGCACATCTGTGCTTCCAGCTAATGTAAATTATTGTTGTGGTTTAATGAGGTGTCACGGGGAATTGTGGGAAATTGTGGAGACTTACACTGACCACCATGCCACTTCTGAGAATTACCTATACTGCTGTCTGCTTACCAAGAGCTAAATTCCACTCTTGTCAGTTGTCTGATGTGATTGCTTGATGACGGACATAGGTAAGGTCAGTGTGGGTCTGTCTGTTATCAGCTACAGTCATGCAACCCTGTGAGCTACATGTTCTCAGCTAATTGTGGCCTCATGAGTGTTCTCAATTTTAACTATCTATCCATGGTGTATGTGATTTCAGTTGCCAAGGCCCAGGCTCCAGAATTCTCTCTCTAAACCTCTCCATCACGCCAACTTGTGTCTTGCTAAGCTTTTGGTAATTTGCCCTATTATCTTAAGTCGTCTTATTTTGGTCTATAATATTCCTGTAAAGTGCCTTGTGATGGTTTCTTAGTTACAGTACCATATGGATATAATTTGTTGAAATTGGAGCCTTGATAAATTGCCATCACCCTCATTAATATTGTTGAAAAGAGATTCCAATAACATTACTCCTTGTGACGATGTTGTTATTCTGCACAGATGTTATTCATGTTTTTTTACATTTAAATTCTCCAAAGTTCTGAAAGGTGATGATGAGCATCGATCAGTGGATGGCGAGGAAGATTTATTTTCAATGTTGTTGAAATTCAGGTGATGCTTGGAAAGCAGCACTAACCGCCCATGCATAATTTTTCAGCAAAGGAAGTGTGCTAGATCCCCTTCTTAAGTAAGAATTGAGTAGCTAGAAAACTGGGTCATTCAGGATTCAGCAAGGTATGGGACAGAGGCATGAGAGTCATAGAGTCACACAGCACGGAAACAGGCCCTTCGGTCCAAACATTCCATACTGAACATAATCCTAAACTAGTCCCACCTGCCTGCTCCTGGCCCATATCCTCCAAACCTTTCCTGTTCATGTACTTATCCAAACCTTCTATGCTCCAGTGAAAGAAGTCCCAGTCTATCCAGCCTTTTTTTTATAACACAAACCTTACAACGTTCTGGTAAATATCTTTTGAACCCTCTCCAGCTTAGTAGTATCCTTCATATAATTGGGTGACCAGAATTGGACACAGTCCTCCAGAAAAGGCCTCACCAACGTCCTGTACAACCTCAACATGACTTCCCAACTCCTATACTTAAAGGACTGAACAATGAAGGGAAGTGTGCTAAATGCCTTTTAAACCATCCTGTCTATCTGTAGTGGGCAAACTGTGGGGATGGTGGGCCCATTTCCTGATGCAGGCAATGAAACCCAATATAAGAACTGCCTTTTTGCTAATGTTGAGGAATAGTACATTCAAATCGAATGAAATTTATTTTAAACTCCTATTTCAGCAATGTTCCATCACGCGATCTCAGTAAAAGTTACATTTTCAACTTCATGGAGTGCCTTGTTCCCCATGTGCTCCAAATAATCAGAAAATGTGGACATGTGAGTAACATAGAAAATAGCTGCAGGAGTAGGCCATTCAGCCCTTCGATCAATATAATCATCCAACTTAGTACCCTGTCCCAGCTTTCTTTTCATACCCTCTGATTCCTAAAATCTATACCTAGTTCCCTCTTGAAAACATTCAATGTTTTGGCCTCAACCACTTTCTGTGGCTGAGAATTCCGCAAGCTCACCACTCTCTGAGAGTGAAGAAATTTCTCCTCATCTCAATCCTAAAAGGCATAGTTTGAATCCTGGGACTGTGACTTGTAGGCTCCCCGGTCATTGGGTTACACTGTACATCATCCCTGGTTTATTTGAATAGCAATTACAAGTAACACGGTTGAAGGGATTGGAACACGCTAAGAACACTGAGGTTGCGTGACATTTGACGTGTAGTCCCCAGGGGCGAGCTGTATGTAAATATTCTGACGTCCAGTTAATCTAAGGTGAAGAAACGCGTTATATTTGCATGGTTGGACAATCATGTGAACACTCCACAGGCAGCAGCACCTTTTTTTCTGAAATGCAACTGTTCTAGGCTCTGCATCTTTTTTATGCAGTTAATTATAGAGACACCATTTCTCTTTGGGTTGCCATATTTTCCAGTTGACCGAATTTCCGGGGCTGAAACATCAATGATTTTACGTAATTGGAGTTATGAGTTGGTGGGGGGGGGGGGGGGGGAGGTGGCTTACATGTTTCGCTGTTTGGCACATCACCTTCGTGTTTGTGTTCCACCTGCATTTTACAAGATTCGTATTTAAAATAGCTGAAGGAACCTGCTCTCCCGCTTCTAGGTGAATGAAAGTTTGCAGATTTGCACATTAAGATAGGGTTCACACAACTTTAGCCACCATCCAGTTCACAGGCATGGACCAAGGCCACTGTTAAAAATCCAAATCTGCATGCATTTTTAACATCTCTATCTTTATACATTCGTTACACAAATAGACGCCTAGCTCTGCAACATTTTTTTGGGGAAGTTTCCACGCAATACAGTTTTGCTCAAGCAAGTGACTTCCTGAAGACATTACTGAGAACCTATAGAGAGAGCGATGAGGAGCTGTAACTTACATCACTTGTATATCAGGACAAGTGGTTTGAGGTTCTGCTAAACTTGGAGGAAGTTGCATTCATCGAACATCAAGCAAAGTAAACGTAGGCGCCCTTCTCAAAACGCATTAGTTTGACTATTAGAAGGAATTAGCAAGTTTTATTATTTACTTTCTCCACATCCCCGAATAATACTTGTATTGTTTCTCGACAGGACGCATGGTGTTTAACTACTGGCGACCACTAGCAGAATTAAAACATGAGCAAGTTTTCCTGGCTGAAATACTTGGCTCTTGCCGCTGCACTATTGGGTGCAACTGTTGACGTCCAAGGTAAAGAAAAATGACTTCTGTGCTTCATAACTCTGAAATGTCTATGTTCAGCCCAATAATTCAGGTCGTTTGCATTTTACCTTTGTAAATGTCAAGGATGAATGGTTAGAACAGTGGCTACGCGATCCAAGGGAATATTTCGCCAAGTCGATACTTAATACCGGTTATTTAACGGAAATCGTCAGACGTGAAATGTGACAAGACGAAATTGATTCTGTAAATTAGAATAATCACGCATTTATGTGAAATTATCCGGTAGTTTGGGAAATCTTCACTTTAGATAAATAACATGGTGGGGGGCGAGCATCCTGGTTTATCCAATCTTCCCAATTTCCCTGTCTTCTTAGTGCTTAGAATGAGGTTTTTTTTGTTGCAGTTCAGATATTGCCCCTTGCTAGAACCTACCCTGGATAATTTGCTTTTGGTGTGGAGTAACAAAATACGTGAGACTGTTGTAAATTCAGCCTTGGATGAAATTATCTCTTGGATTTTTAAGCACTGTTCACATTTAATAAAATTCTGATTTTGCAAAAGCAATAATCAATGAAATGTTGTTTGGATGTATTGGAGACTTGAAGGAATGTGGTTAAGAAACCATGAAAAGGAAAATATAAGGCATTGTATCTTTGATACTATTCGAGTGACATTTTACATTATAGTTTTGGAGTTAAGAGGTTTTATTGGATCATTAATTAATTTTGTCTGATTTTTTTTTCCAGAATTAGGAAAGACAGTATTGGGTTTCATGATTTGTAGTTTGTAGTTCTTTCCATCACCACATTGAATCTACAATTTGTTCAGATGTTTTATGCCATGTCTGTTCTCCTGTTGTGCAGAATGTTATTTATTAGTTCATGCTTAATTGACAAAATATTCCAAGACTGAAATAAATTATTCTTAAGGGGAATACGTTTTTAGTTACAAATCAAAGGAATGATGTTACTTTAGCCCAGGTAGATGGATGACAATGATTGACAAGATTGAGGGTAGAATTTTATATCACCAACGGAAAATTTGAAAGGATTTGTTTTATTCTGTTGTTTACTTTCGATGTTATCTGCTATTTTGCTTATTGCAGTTTCATTTTTCGGGTAAATGCCTATCTTCCTTGAAATATGTTTTCTACATTAGGGAGTTTTTTTACAGTGGTTATTGCTCGTAAAGTGGTATAATGATCTTGAGATGCAGTCTTGATTCAGTATTTGAAATATATTTAAACACACAGTACATTGGATTCAGGTATGAACTGGAGGACCACTTCCAAATTGTACATTTCTGAAGTTTACGAAAGGTAGATGTTTGTGTAACAGCTTAAAAATATAATTGAATAAACAGATATCTTTTATCAATGAAATTGTTAAATGTTGGCAGTGCTTCAAAAATATATTGTGGTACAGGTTAGCACCTGTCAGAGAGCTTAATTTAAACGTTTGAAACTGATTTTTTAGCAGCCGAGAGAAAAGATTTACATTTTTATAGCACTACAGGATGTCCTAAACAGTTTAGACGCTACAAATGCAGCAGTTTTAATAAAATCAAACCTATATTCCCTGGATCCATGCCATCTTCTTAATTTGTTAATTGGTGCCCATAATCTTTCACCCTTGAAGACTGATTTCTCAACCATTAGGACTACATATTTTTCTATTGTGAATTCTATGAGCGGAAATGGACATTGGAAAGGATGGAAAAAGGCGGGAGCAGATATGTAGGGGCAAAAGTGAGACTAAAACAAAAAATTTTTAGGAGGGTTTTGAAGGCAGAGCGAAGGAATGTTTCAGTAACCCGAGCCAAACATTGTCTTTGTTGCAGTGTGTACTTCAGATAGTACCATTTTGCAATACGTTTTATTAACTAATTGCCATATAAAATAACATTTACACCCCTGTCTGGATACTAAATGATTTATACATTAAATAGCAGAACCATTGTTCCAAGTGAAATATTTCTACGTTACGCCATTTTCTGCATTGCAAAAGGAGCCATGTTATGAACAATTCTGTGTAAGCAACTGAATAGGGAAATGATTAACTCAAATAACATTATCACCATTCCTCCAAATCTATGTCATCGTCCATGGATTAACATATTAGTTTTTGGCAGTAAGTACAGTGCTTTCATACTTCTCATAGTAGGTAAAGGGAAGTAGACAGGACCATATTTCAATTAAAGTCAATCCCTGGTGTTTCAATTTATAGTTGTAGATCAGAACAATAAAGAAAAAGGAGAATCCCAGGATATCTCAAAACATGTTACAGTCAATGAAGTATGTTTGGAATGTAAGTGCTGCTGTAATGTAAGAAACATTGAGGTAGACCGCACAAGGCAATGTCGCATAAACAATGATGAAATAAATGATTAGATTATATCTTTTTGTGATATTGGTTAATGGATATGTATTGACCAGGGAGAATTTCTCTGCTTTTCCTTGATTAGCACCAACAAGATCGTTTACATCTCTCTGTTAGCAGAAATAGTACTTTTCATTCCAAAAGACATTACCTCTGAAGCTCAGTGCTGCCTGAGTATTGCATTACTGCAGTAGTCTAGGTTATGTACAAACATCTTTGGAAGATGAATCTTTGTAATTTCTGATGTTGGAGAGATCAAATGTTCCAGCATGTTTGAATCTTCTTATTAGAAGTCAAAGCCATGCTAGTGGGTTTGGTTTTACAGCGATTTATGATTTATAAATGCAAGTAGCTGGCTGGCTTGCATTTATAGATTCAGCTTTGACTAGTGTAACTGCTGTTACATATTGCAAGATGTTCTCGACCAATAACTGTGCTTTTAGAGTCCACCAGATAATGACTTGATTGATTGATTGATTGATTTATTGTCACGTGTACCGAAGTACAGTGAAAAGCTTTGTTTCCAAGTAGTCCCCTTTTGAGGCAGAGAACTTGAGATTTCAGCTTTCACCTGTCAGAGGCAGGGAGGAGTGGAGTCCTACAAATGATCTTCTGAAAGGGAGATAAAAAGTTTGCAATCTGATTACTTCTCATGACCACGAGAATGTAGGACCAAGAATAGGCGAGTCAGTTTCTTAAGTCTGTTTGATAACATTGAATGTATCACTCAAAGCTAAGAGAAGGCAAGAATAACCCAGCAGTTCATTCAGTCCATTAGATGATGCAGCTTGTGGGCTGCCTTCCTCAACTAATGGTACAGTTAACACCTTATGGAAGAAATAAAAAAAAACTTGTGGCCTATTTCAAGGGAAGAGAATTTGGGCAAATAATTCCTTACTCTCGAAGACAATTCAGCAGATCATGGTTCTTCATGATTTACACCTAAGTTAACTTTTTTGACCTAATTTCAAAAATCCATTTATGTGAGGAATTCCTTGCAGTAATTTAGACTTGGGATTTAATTGAGCAACAAACTGGCTGTGGTTTATTTTTGCAATTAATAAAACCTTTTGAATTTGTCAACTGGATGAACACCTTGTAATTCATCAAGAACACATTTGTTCTGTGTAACATTTCTGTTACACTCTTTCCTTCATAAACTACTGTATACAATATATGCTTAAAGGACAACTATTAAAGAATGGTAAATGAAAATCACATTGTGAGCAATGTGTTATGAACTGGCAGGTAATATAGTGTGAATTTAGAGAAGAATTCAATGACAATTCTATGATAGCCTTAAAATACCCAATCAATGAGAGGGCTACAAACTGCATTAACATTCTATTTAAAATTAGAATACCCTAGAAATAACGTTCATTACATCTGTGTTGTTGTGTACCAGGTTAGTATGCCATCTTAGGAACACAGGAACAGGAGTAGACATTCAGCCCCTTGAGCCTGTAATGCCATTCAGTGAGGTCATTGCTGATCTGTGACCTAACTCTATATACCTGCCTTTGGCCCATATTCCTTACTACCTTTGCTGAGCAAAAAATTATCGATCTTAGATTTAAAATTAATAACCAATCTTGCATCAACTGCCATTTGTGGAAGTGGGTTCCAAATCTCTACCACCCTTTGTGTATCGTTTGTGTGTAGAAGTACTTCCTAACATCCTTCCTCAAAGATCTGGGCCTAATTTCTCAGACTATGCCCCCTAGTACTAGAATCTCTCGTAGGTGGACATAGTTTATCTTTATCTAGCCTGTCTTTTCCTGTTAATATCTTGAAGACTTCAATCAGATCAGCCCTTTAGCTTTTAAATGCTGGAGAAACACACCTCAATTGTATAGGATCTCCTCATAACTTAAGCCCTGAAAATTAAAAAAAAGACAAAAATAAGGTGAAGCAGTAGGTATGTTAAATTTTAAAATACTTATTGATTCACTACAGTAAAATCCAAGTACAATTTTACATTCAGTTAACGACCTGATCATAACGAAAGAGCTACAAATTGAGGCCTGGTGGGTCTCTACATAGATTAGATGGTTTTTAAACTATCATCAAAGTCATTCCAAATTATTAATTTGAAGTTCATCATTTCCCCTGATGATTCAAAAGCTTTCAAATTAAACAGAACATTGCACATATTAAAAATAACCTGTTGCATGTTTCATTCAGTGGCCAGTTTCCAAACATGCAAGGCAGTAGTAACAGTTACAGGAGACAGATTCAGTTTCTTCAGCATAATGAATGATGGCATTCCCTTTTGTGTTTTCCAAATGATTTTTCTTATAGTTGTTTGTTTTCCATAATTTGTTATTATAATATTCTGTGTTATTAGTAGTTATTAAGTATATCAAGGCCTTCTTGGTATTCTGGCAAATGCCTCAGTGAAAGCAAAGAAAGCGGTGGACAGGTTGAGTACATCATAAATTATTTCTGAAAATCCCAAAGCATAGATACCCAAAAAAAAAACCGTTTATGTGAAACACAGTGCAGATTATATAGCAAGCTGTGTTGCTGCCAAAAAGGTACTTGATAAATTAAGGTCTTTGCATTTGTACCCAGGGAGTATTGTAAGCCCAACACAAATGAATTAAGATGGCAGATTCTTCAGAGTGAGTGAGTTGCATGCATAACTAC